CTCTGGTCAAATACTGTTTGGGGCTATGCACAACACAAGTTAACAAGAACTGGTTGAACTGGGTGATGCTCCCTGAATAGATTTTGGACACAGGTAAGTATACCTCATGTAGTGTCAGAGTTATGTCAAAGACAAAGTTCAAAGCGTAAAAATGAACAAAGAGCAATAGCTATAACTAAAATTAAGCAAGGCAGAGTTATGGTTCTTTTGCACTGCACTGCTATTTAATGAGACCAATCTTCCTACAAAGTTTCATGTTGATACCTCTTATGGTTTCAGAGTTATGTCCCGAACAAAGTTCCAAGAAGTGTAAAATGAACAAAGGGAAATAATTTCAAAATAAGCCAAGACAGACTCATGGTTCTTTTGCACTACGCTTCTACTCAATGAGATCTATCTACCTACAAAGTTTCATGTTGATACCTCTTGTTGTTTCAAAGTTATGTCCTAGAAAAGAATAGCGGAGTTTTTTCTTTGATCTCCCTTAATCTCTAAAACCCCATAAGCAAAGTATTTGCACCCCATAAGCAACCTTTTTCCCCCACAAGTAACATCTGTACGGAATGAACATGAATATTCACCAATAACGTCACTTGAGGTCATACGGACAGACAGATGGACGGACAAAGTGGCGACTATATGCTCACCCTTCGGGAAGAATAAAAAATTGCAAATTTTTACTAAATCAAGGGCAATGACTCTACAAATACTATATAAATCCACACATGAAACCCCAGGCCCCGTGTTCACAAAGATTTAAGGATCAGGATCAAATTTAAAAACCCTAATATTCTTCATTGTGTATCCTCATAGATAAATATCTAATTATAAATTTGATAAAACTGGACCTGAAATAGAAAGTATATGAAATTTTAGAATAAATTAATTGTTAATTTTGCAAGATATGGGCATTTTACAGTTGATCCAAATATTGATCCTGATCCTAAAATTGATCCTTATTTTGATCCAAATATTTTTGTATTTGTTTTGTTATTTGTTGATTTTATCCCAAAATAGTTTGTTTTCTTTGCAAATCAGCATATTTTTAGAATTTGAATATTTACAATTTAATTAAACAAAACACAAATAATTTTTTGTAACATTAAACAATGAAAATAAAATCAGGATCACTTGATCCTGATCCTGATCTTTTCTTAGTGAACACGGGGCCAGGCGCATAACCACACATTGTAAACAATGTACAAGACAACTTGATATATCAATGCATTTTATTTTTGATACATGTATGTTGAACAGCACTTCACTTTTATTTGCTTCTTAAAAGGGGATATACTATTCAACTGTCTCTGCTTGATATTTCTCGGTCTCTTTTGACGGCAAATACTAATACTATGTTTATTGGCCAGTCTGTCCCAGTTTTGAAGTAGATTTCTTAACTGATTTCGTAACAAATAAATAGAATCATTTTTACTAAAATAAGTGTTGACCAAGTCATTTGGTTGAAACAATTAGCTAACACAGATCGTCGCTCAATATCATTTATTCAAATACAAATGTACATAAAAGGCATTTCTAATATAAATGGAATTCATTTCTTTTCATTAATGGGTCACATAATAAATAAATAAATAAATAGATACATGTATTTGAGTAATATACAAATTAAACAAATTTCTCTATAATTATCTATATCTTTGTATTCGAGTTTATTGACAAGAAAGTCATAAATTTATTCAATGTTGGAAATAAAAGTATTTAAAACATTTTTCTATGTGACATTATAATATTACTTGTTATTGAGAAATAAAAGGCAAACAGTTTATATACTGGTAGCTATGCACAACATTAAATTAGCAGATAAAATTACCCATAAAGAAAATATTTCTAATAAACAATTAAACAAACAAGAGCTGTCGGTAGGACAGCAACGCTCGACTATTCTTAGTGCTTGATAGTAAAAAAAAATGCTTGATACAGTTACCTCCTCCTGTCTACAGGTTGGGGTCATGATGGTGAACAAGTGTGCAAAGTTTCAAAGCCATATGTCAATGGACTTTGAAAATATTTGAACTATTACATAAATTTTAACATAAATTCTAAGTCGAAAAAGGGGCACAATTTTGTCAAAATGCTTGATAGAGTTACCTCTTCCTGTCTACAGGTTGGGGTCATGATGGTGAACAAGTGTGCAAAGTTTCAAAGCCATATGTCAATGGACTTTGAAAATATTTGAACTATTACAAAAACTTTAACGTAAATTCTAAGTCGAAAAAGGGGCATAATTCTGTCAAAATGCTTGATAGAGTTACCTCCTCCTGTCTACAGGTTGGGGTCATGATGGTGAACAAGTGTGCAAAGTTTCAAAGCCATATGTCAATGGACTTTGAAAATATTTGAACTATTACAAAAACTTTAACATAAGTGGTTACGCCGACGCTCGGGTGACGACAATAGCTCTACTTATTCTTATCGAATAGTCGAGCTAAAAACTAACTTAACAAAAATACAAAGTTTATAATCAAAACAATAATATGCTCAACATGGTAATGTCATATTTGTCAGGTTTTACCTAGGTGTGAACATACATCTGAAGATAATTTATGACAGGGACTTTCTAAAATGGTGTACTAGTATATTTTGAAATCAAAGATGGCTGCCATGGTAGTCAATGTGTAAATCATTATTTTACTATCAAGCAATTATTCGGATAATTCCCAAAGAATCTGGAACTTAAATTCATGTGGTACGATAGACATACATGTACAATATGCTGACATAACCAAAATATGTAAAAATGTTTGATTATCTGCTTGTTCTAAAAATGCTGTTACACTTTTAATGATATGGAGGAGGGTCTTTAAAGGTTATTAGGTAACAAGAAAGATGCAAAAACAAGAGGGCCATGATGGCCCTGAGGTCGCTCACCTGTATATAGGCCCCCCCCCAACCCCCACCCCTCCCCCAACGTTGCAGGGCCAATTTAACCCAAGGGCTTTTATTTGCACAAACTTGGTAGACACCCATAAGAAGATGTTTCATGCTAAACATCTAAGCTCTAGCTCATTGGGCTTTTTAAAAGAAGATTTTTTTTAAGTTTTTACTATACACATATAGTTAAAAACAATGACACCCCTGGGGCCGGGCCAGTTATGACCCCAGGGCTTTTATTTGAACAAACTTTGAAGACACTTACTAGAAGATGTTTCATGCTTAATATCTAAACTCTAGCTATTTGGGTTTTTTCAAAGAAGATTTTAAGTTTTTGCTATACATATATAAAGAATATCAATGACCTCCGGGCGGGGCCAATTTTGACCCCAGGTCTTTTATTTGAACAAACTTTGTAGACACTCACTAAATGATGTTTCATGCTTAATATCTTAACTCTAGCTATTTGGGTTTTTTCAAAGAAGATTTTTTAAGTTTTTGCTATACACATATAAGGAAAATCAATGACCACCGGGGCGGTGCCAATTTTGACCCCAGGGCTTTTATTTGAACAAACTTGGTAGACACCTATAAGAACATGTTTGATGCTAAATATCTTAGCCATACTCTTAGAGTTCTTTAAAAGAAGATTTTTAAGTTTTTACTATATGCATATAGGGAAAATCAATGACCCCCTGGGGCGGGGCCAATTTTGACCCCCGGGCTTTTATTTGAACAAACTTGGTAGACACCCATTAGAACATGTTTCATGCTAAATATCTTAGCTCTAACTCTTTTGGTTCTTTAAAAGAAGATTTTTTAAGTTTTTACTATATGCATATAGGGAAAATCAATGACCCCCTCCCCCCTGGGGCAGGGCCAATTTTGACCCCAGGGCTTTTATTTGAACAAACTTGGTAGACACCTATTAGAACATGTTTGATGCTCAATATCTTAGCCATAGCTCTTTGAGTTCTTTAAAAGAAGATTTTAAGTTTTTACTATATGCATATAGGGAAAATCAATGACCCCCCGGGGCGGGGCCAATTTTGACCCCAGGGCTTTTATTTGAACAAACTTGGTAGACACCCATTAGAACATGTTTCATGCTAAATATCTTAGCTCTAGCTCTTTGGGTTCTTTAAAAGAAGATTTTTTAAGTTTTTACTATATGCATATAGGGAAAATCAATGACCCCCCGGGGCGGGGCCAATTTTGACCCAAGGGCTTTTATTTGAACAAACTTGGTAGACACTCACTAGAAGATATTTCATGCCAAATATCTAAGCTCTAGCTCTTATGGTTTTTTAAAAGAAGATATTTAAATTTTTTTCTTTCGGTTGCCATGGCAACCAGAGTTCTGCATGGAATTAAATTCTTTGAACAATTTTTAAAGGTGACCACCAAAGGAACATTCCTGTGAAGTTTGGATGAAATTGGCTTAGTGGTTTATGAGGAGATGTCATTTAAAGTAAAAGTTTACGGACGGACGACGGACGGACGGACGTTCTCACAGGACAGTAATTATGTGGCTACTCTATTGTTCTCTCTATTGTTCTCTCTATTGTTCTTTTTAGCCACGCAAAAGAAAATAGCCACATAAAAGCATTACGGAATGAATGACATCAAAGAGAACCTATTGTCCCTCTAGCCACATAATTACTCTCCTGTGAGTGCGACGGACGGACGGACGCCGGACGGACGCCGGACGAAAAGCGATCACAAAAGCTCACCCTGTCACTTTGTGACAGGTGAGCTAAAAAAACAAGTTTTCAATTATCACCATTGTAGAAAGTTTTGTTGTAGTTGAAATACAAAAACAAGCAATGTACAATATATCTATGTGTTATGTGCAATATAAATGATAAATACCGTAATGAAGAAACAAAATAAATAAGCATAAATTTTGTAATAACAGCAGATGGAAAAATTTATATTATCTTGACCTTGATCCTGGTGAGGTGGGGTTCCCTAAACCAACCCAAATGATGTGTTCATATTCCAAGGTTTTTTTTTAAATATCTCACTTTTAACTCTACTTATCAACCTGAAACTAATTTTCTATATTTAGTGACCTTAATCCTACAGGGCTCAAAAGCAAGTCAATGCAAGGCTTTCAATTAGAAATGCTACACAACAATTTGAATAAAAATATCTCATTCATAAATTTAGTTACTGATCCAAAACCATTTTCTACTTTTAGTAACATTGACCTTGACCCTAGATGGCACAAAAAGCTACCCTTAGTGCAGTCTAAACATAAGCTTGATTCAATCTTAACATAAGCTTGATTCAAACAAAGTTTCATTGAAATATCTCATTCCAAACTCTAGTTATTGGCCAGAAACTTTTCTTTTTAGTAACAATAACCTAGACCTTAATATTGAGCTCTAAAAGCAATCTCAAATCTCAATGAGAGCTTTACAAAAGCTTTCTATACACCAATTTAAGTTTCACTGAAACAGCTCTTTCAAAACTCTAGTTATTAACCTGAAAATGATTTTTTTTCTATTTTAGTAACAGTGACCTTGGCCCTAAGGGGCCCAATAGCAATACCAAGCAAAATTTTCCAATACATTTGTAAGTTTACTATACACCAGATTTTATTGAAATATCTCATTGCAAACTCTTAATAACTGACCTGAATCAGATTTTCTATTTTTAGTAACAATGACCTTGACCTTATGGGGTAAAAGCAATAACAAGTAAGGTCTTCATTAAAGCTTGCTTATCAGCAAGTTTCATTAAAATGTCTCATTACAAAATCTAGTTATTGATCTGAAACTGATATTCCATTTTTAGGAACAGTTACCTTGACCTGAGATGCCCAAAACCCACCCCAATCTAGGCCTTTATAAAAGCTTGCTTTACACCAAGTTTCATTTACATAATCTCAATCCAAACTAAAAGCTATTGACCGGAAACAAATTTTCTATTTTTAGTAACAGTGACCTTGAGCTTGACCCTAGGGGGCCCAAAAACAATCATGTGCAATGAATTTACGTAAGCTTGCTTTAAACCAAGTTAAATTGAAATATTTAATTCCGTACTCTGGATAATAACTGTAAACAGATTTTCTATTTTTAGTGACAGTGACCTTGACTTTACTGGACCAAAAAGAAGGCAGATGAGCTGGCAGGCTTGCATCTAACAAAATGGTTTCTGTTCGTTAGGTTAAATGTAGTAGTTGTGATAAATAGGATATTACACTATATATTACATATATGGAAAAAAAAACAAAGGGCCATAATTATGTCAAAACTTATCCAATCACTAATCTGCTAAATTATGTGCCAGGGCACTTGAAGACAAAGCTTTTGTTAAAGTTTGGTCAAAATCCCTTGAGAAATTAGAAGGAGTTGGGCACAGAAGAAATGGTTCACTATATATCCCTTCTAAGGGAAAAAAACAAAGGGCCATCATTAGGTCAAAACTTATAGAATCACAAAACCCAGGGCACTTGTAAAAGTTTTGTCAAAATCGCTTGAGAAAATGTACAAGATGTTGCACACAGAAGAAATTGCTCATTATATATTCTATATATAAGGAAAAATACACAAAGGGTCATAATAAAGTCAAAAACATCAAAAGCTCAGCTTGAGCACATTTTGCTCAAGTTAGCAAACAAAAATGCTTTCTTTCTGTTGTTCTCCATTTACAAAGTAATTACTTCTATCATATACCATTTACAAACTCATATGTTAATGCCAAAAGGCACATACAAAATTATTTCTACTAATATTTCACTTTTAGGGTCATACCCTTCCCTTTAAGTTCAAATGTGATATTTTCTGGTTTTAATGTCACATCTCCAATGATGTCTTTTACCTGAACAAACATATCCCCAAGGGTACAGCCTTCTATAACAGCTGATTTGCCAGACACCTTGGTGTTACCATTATCTATAATTTCAATATTTCTATGAATTGAACCATCTACACAATCAAACTGAACACCGAGTTGAAAAATATTCCCCTCCTGAGCACTACAGGTTCCTTGTTCTTTATTTGTGTCCAGGCTTATTGGAAATTCTTCCTTTACACAAGCACCAGTATTTATTACTAAATTTTCATTTGAAATTGTACCAGTTGCAATTTCCTCATTTGTACCAAGGTTTAACGGCAATATATTACTTGAAACTGCTCTTTTTGCTTGTTTTTCATCAGAGTGTGTGTCGTGTTTTTCAGCCACCTTCCCAGGCATTGCTTTGTTTAAGGTTTGGTTGCAAGAATTTCCATCTTTGGACCTCTGTGCCATGTGGAACTTCTTCATATGCTGTCGCAAGTATGCCCTTCTCTTAAAAGATCTTGGACAAATTTCACAAAAATGTTTGTTTATTACTAGTCCATCTGCATCTTTCTCATTTAGTTTTGCATCAACAGGATAAATTGAAGTACCTTCCACATTACTCTCCTGTTGTTTCAGGTGTGGATGCTTAACTTTAATGTGACGTCTCAAATATAAAGATTTTTTAAAAGATGATTGGCAAATAGCACATTTAGCTCTTTTAGTTTCAACAGTAGAGTTACAACTAATGGTAATACCATCATTTGGATTTTCCATTGAACCTGATGTGTCCATCATAATATCCTGTTGAGTATCTGATATTGTAGATTTGAAATCTACATCAGTGTGGGTATTATCAACTTGATATTTCTCATTTGTTGTACCTTCTTCTTCTAGATCAGTATGGTCAACCTCAATAGTATCATGAAATTTAGCCTCATCAAAAGATACTGTTACATTTAATGGATTGGCAACCTTTTTACCTCCGTGTACTTTTTTAAGATGCCTATTTAGATAAGGCTTTTTCTTAAATGATGCTCCACACAAATCACACACCTTTTGCACTACTCCTTCCTTAAATTCCAAGGGTTGAAGAAAAACAGTGTTCGTATCTGCATTAACAGAGGTTGCATGCATTGTAATATCAGAGGGTAAAATATTATTTGCCTTTGTTTTATCAGGAAAATCATTTACCAACATCTCAGGAGGTAAATCGTTGGCTGCATTATCATGGGATTCATTCCCTGCCATCTCAGGTGCTAAAACAAGATTTGCACTTGTATTAACACGGGGTTCAATGTCCTCTGTCACAGCTTGTAAAGCAATGTCTGTACCTGTGTTAACAGGGGCTATATCTAGCATCACCTCGGTTAAATCTTGGACTTGGCAATCCATATGGTTTGGTTTTTTTTAATCGTCCTTTTATAATTCTTGATTTATAATAATTAACATCTATTATTTACTTTCTAATGTAATAAATGTTGCATTTTATCAAACTTGTAATATGATGATATCCCCACTGACTTTTGAGTTTTTCTTAAAACTGTACAGTCCTATTTCTTTCTTGGCACTATCCTGAAAAAGAATAAATATCTATTATATCTCATGTTTGAATATTAAAAAATATTTTAGCTCAAAATCTTCATGCATATTTTGTAGTAACATTGTAAGTATACTTGATTCAAAGCATCTATCAGACAAGAACACACCCTCGAATTTTTATTTTTTCATGTTTGGTAGACTTTATTTGGTGCTTAGATATGTGGTTTGAAGTTTTTTTTTATCTATTTCAACCTCTGGCAGCCAATTTATACAGCAAACCTGAACAATTTTAGAAATTTTAGTACAGGACTGCACAAGGACTGATCATTTCTATAGAGGTTTATCAAAACCTATTGATGATTCAGGACACAATGTCATGTAGCACTTTCTTCTATTTTTAGCTCCAACAGACATCTTCTTCAGCATACCGGAACCATATGACCAATTATCATAGACAACTATCCAAGGACCATTCCTATTTAGTTTCATCAAACTCTACCCAATAGTAAAGGAGATGTCATTTAAAGGTTTTTTTCTATTTTTATCTCTGGCCGCCAACTTGTTCAACAGACAGGATCCATGTAAGCATTTTTGGAGGGTACCATCCAAGGATCATTCCTCATAGTTTAATCAATGTTAATGTAGGTGTTAAGGAGATATCATTTAAGTAAAAATGTTAATGTCAGACAACAGACACTGGATGACGTACACAGGGGTATAAAAATTGCTCATCTTGAGCATATTCATTATTGTGTTCAGGTGAGCTAAAAAACCTCAGTGGAATAATCAAAGGGAGACAATCAAAAAATCAAGTAAACAGTTATATAGTTCTTGAACCAGTGCCCCAGCTTGCATTTCCTCTATCTGGTCTTGATCACTGTGTGATGTATCAATAAAATGCTTTCAATACTTCTCGAGTTATTTCCTGGACAATTCAAGAACAAAGTTATGTGAAGTAATGGTTCTTTGACTAACCAGAAGAGAAATACATGTAATAAATGATAGCAAATGAGTATTATCTACCAAGATACCCACAGGTTGATAATTTAATGATTAGTCAAATAGAGTTTAACTATGGCATAGAAAAACTGATAATTTCAGATGCTGTATCCTTGTGGTATAATTGTCTACTGGGATCAGGGAATCAGGGTATGTAAGCCATATTTTGCCCATTATAAAAAGTACTGAATAAATCCAGGGTGACATTTTATCTGTTGAAGAAGTTATTATTAAAAGATCTAAATGAAAATTATTTGAAAGAAAGTTTTACTAAACATCTTCTAGCGGTCAGAAACTTTTAGGTAGTTTATGTTCGTAATAAGTTTTTTATGTATCCATCTTTGGCACATCAACAGATTATACATAGTTTTATCAAGGTATGCTTCACTTCATGGCATGTTCGATGAATGGATACGAGCATGTCAGATTCCTGGCACGATTATTGGTGGACTTTCCCCACAGGTCTGTCTTCAGCATTTATGTCATGTCATAGTATATAAACGGGTACACTGAAGACCTTAAGCTAAGTGGAAACCATCTTTATTTATCTGAACTTCATTCCAGGAATGTCCTAGTAATTTGGACGTTAAAAACTTAAGTATTTGTAAACGGTCCAAAAATTCCTGTCCAAAAGGGCAAACAAGTAATGAAACTAAACTGTACTAAAGTTAATGATGTACTTTTGAAGTATACTCGGTTCCTATGATATCACGGGTTCTATGATATCACGGTATTTACATTTTCTGTGACTGCTAATAAAAGCAACACACGATGATGCTAATATCTTTTCAACTGGCACACCCAATTCATTTTCATCAGCCAATAAATTCAACTTTGTAAATAATGAATGTATTCGTGACAAATTTTTTTTTTTTTATAAATCGTCATATTTTACTACTATTTTCCTTATAAGTTTTTACACAGTCAATTAAAATCAGTTATAATCACATATTATACTGACATATCATCTGTTCATATAGTTTCAATTTACGTCAACTGTTGGAAGTTTTTAACACCTTCACTTGAAAATATTTTGACCTATCTATCCTTCGATCCATACTTGCATTTTTGGGGACTACCGTGATACCATAGTATGATAGTAGCCTCCTCTGACATTACCCCAGGGTTTTACATCTCTCTGATATTTTAGGGGTCCAGTGGATGCACAGCCTAGACTAGAACTCCGCGAGTCGGAGGTGTCGCCTTGTGAACAATATAGTTTTTGTGAAATGGCCAGGACAAAAATGAAATACGAAAACTAACAAAGGGCAATAGCTCAAAAACTAATAAGTGCAGAGCAGCAGTTTCTATGCAACGCACTTCTTATCAATAAGATCTATCATTCTATGAAGTTTCAAGTCCATATCTTTTATAATTTATGAGAAATGGCCTGGACAAAAATAAAATATGAAAATATATAAAGGGTAATAACTCTAAAATAAGAAATGCAGAGTACCGGTTCTTGTACACTGCACTTTTTCTTAATGAGATCTATCATCCTAAGAAGTTTCATGTCTATAGCTTTCATACTTGAGGAGAAATGACCTGGTTAAAATAAAGTACGAAAATTAACAAAGGGCAATAACTCAAAAAATAAGAAATGCAGAGTACCGGTTCTTGTGCACTGCACTTCTTCTTAATGAGATCTATCATCCTATGAAGTTTCAAGTCCATAGCTTATATACTTTCGGAGAAATGGCCCGGACAAAAATAAAGTATGAAAATTAACAAAGGGCAATAACTCAAAAAATAAGAAATGCAGAGTACCTGTTCCTGTGCACTGCACTTCTTCTTAATTAGATCTATCATCCTATGAAGTTTCAAGTCCATAACTGTTATACATTAGGAGAAATGGCCCGGACAAAAATAAAGTATGAAAATTAACAAAGGGAAATAACTCAAAAATTAGGAAATGCAGAGTACCGATTCTTGTGCACTGCACTTCTTCTTAATGAGATCTAGCATCATATGAAGTTTCATGTCCATAGCTTTTATAGTTGAAGAGAAATGGTCCGGACAAAATTAAAGTATGAAAATTTACAAAGGGCAATAACTCAAAAATTAAAAAGCGCAGAGTACCGGTCCTTGTGCACTGCACTTCGTGTTATTGAAAGAAGCATGCATACCAAGTTTGAAGTCAATCCAACTAGAAGTGACTGAGTTATGCTCTGGACAAGCTTTAGGCTGGCGCCCATCATGACTAGTATTTTTCAGCAATCATTGTTAACTGGTGAAATTCCTCTGGACTGGAAACAAGCTAATGTAGTTCCTATCTTCAAGAAAGGTGATTGATCAAAACCTGAAAACTACCGCCCAGTCTCTTTGACAGTCGTTGTATCAAAAATTCTTGAACATATAGTTGTGTCACAAATTATGAATCATCTTGATTCTCAAAGTATTCTACATGAAAATCAGCACGGATTCCGCTCGAAAAGATCTTGTGAATCTCAACTATTAATGACAAATGATGACATTGCAAAATCACTTAATTCCGGTACACAAGTGGATATGGCAATTTTAGACTTTTCTAAAGCATTTGATAAAGTTTCTCATAGACGTTTATCACACAAACTAGAGTATTACGGTATTTCCGGTAATACTAGGCGTTGGATTGATTCCTTTTTATCTAATGGAATACAACAAGTAGTAGTGACAATGCATCATCTGATATAGCCTCTGTAACATCTGGTGTGCCGCAAGGAACAGTCCTCGGACCAACACTCTTTTTAATCTATACAAATGACATCGCAGATAATATTACATCAGGTATACGTTTATTCGCTGACGATTGTGTGTTATATCGGCCGATAAGTAACCAAAGTGACAACTTAGCTCTCCAGGAAGATCTTAGTAAACTTGAAAATTGGTCGGACATTTGGCAAATGGAATTTAATGTTAAAAAATGCGCCATTATGCAATTTTCATCTTCTCCACACAGAAAGAAATATGACTACAAAATGAAAGGCGAAAGCTTGGAAATAGTCAACCAGCATCCATATTTAGGGGTTGAATTCAGTGATAATTTGAAATTCAACGACCATAATATTAACAACATCACAAAAAAGGCAGCAAGTACACTTGGTTTTCTAAAGAGGAACTTAAGATACTGTCCTCCCAAAGTAAAAGAAAAGGCTTACATTAGCTTGGTCAGACCTAAACTGGAATACGCATCTCCAATATGGAATCCTTTACAAAAGACTCAAGTTAAGCAGATAGAACAGATACAAAGAAACGCAGCAAGATGGGTATTGAATAGACCGTATAACCCACACAATCCTTCTAGTGTAACTGAACTAATAAATAAATTACAATGGCCCAGTCTTCAACAACGTAGAGTTTGGGCAGATGTGACTCTCATGTATAAAGTAGTTAACTACTTAATAGCTGTACCAGTATCGTACCACCCCACTATTGCCACAGTTCGTTCAACCCGAAGAAGTCATAGTATGAAATTCATCCCAATCCAATCTAGAATCAACGTTTATCAACACTCATTTTTCCCAAGAACTGTTAATACCTGGAATATTATAACCGGATTCTTGTGTTACTTCTGAGAGCCTGGAGGCGTTTAAATCTTCCATCCAGCTCGTTCCAGTCGTACCATCATATGTTTAAATGGTCAACATCTTGTAAAGTGTAAATACATGTTGGTCAAATGACTTTTTAAGGGTGTAGTGTGGAACATCAGTTTGTCAATGGGACAGTTGTGATACAATTGTGTAAAATAGTTTTAAAAATTTATGTCGGAACACGCCACTCTACACCGATGTACAGTCTTCACCTCCTCGACGTCGATGTCTACTTCGTGGATTTTGTCGAGAAAACCCGTTGAAGTTGAAGTTGAAGTAGGGGACGCCGACACCGCCGACAAAAGTAATCCCTATATGTCCCCTTTTCAAGGCGACACAAAAAGTAGGGGGCCATGCAGGCCTAAATTTTAATTTAAGAAATAAAGATATTTCCTTTAAACTTAGTTTGTTTATTGAGAATAATATTAGACATAAACAGAAAAAAAATATTTGGCTTCTGTCACTTTTGTGAGATTTATTTCCCTTTTTTCATGTTTTTATAACACATAATTTTTGAAGTCCTTAAAAAGTATGTTACATATGCAAAGTGTAAACAAAATAGGTTAAATAACTTCTTTATGCTCTAATTCATTGCGACAACACCTGTCAGCATACATTTCATTCAGTTTTCAGAGAAAATTTCGAAGTATAATGTTCAGTGTCAAAGAATTGTCAAAATATAAATGCCAGAAACAGAATATTTAATCCAAATATATAGAATAAAGGTATTGGCGCAATAATCTAGAGCAAAATGAAGTTGTTGGACACATTTCTACTTAGAATTTTACATTACAATATAATTTTTATGAACTTCAAATATTTTGTTTCTAAAAAATGGGAAAAAGGGAAATAATTCTAAGGAAATAAAAGATAACCAAAATATTTTTATTTTGATTTGTATCATATATCAATGCTTAATAAACAAAACAAGTGAAAAAGAAACATATTAATTATTTTTTAGAAATATGAGATTTTTATATCTAAGCCCCACCAGCCTAGCCTGTTGAACTTAAATCATTCACTAAAATAGTTAACAATTTTATTTTTTCAGTCAAAAACATGTACAGTAAGATGAAAGGCTTTAAATATATAATATATAAATGCCACTTATTACCCTATTAAATAATACTGACTGCAGAATGATCCGAGCATGTTCTTATTTTTATCTGCAAATGGCGAATTCATATCAAAGGGAGATAACAACATGCCATGTATTTTTCATAAGATGCCTATATTCTTTTTTTTTTTTTTTTTAGAAATTATTGTTAAAAGATCCAAATACAATCATGTTTTGATATTAAAATATATCTTTGCTCAAAATCTTCATGCGTATTTTGTAATAAAGTATACTTTATTCGAAGCATCTATCGGACAGGAACAAAATTTACCTCTAGATGACAACGCTTTTTATTCAATTAGTAAGAATATTAGTACAGAGCCTCGACTTGATTGCGGAAGTACAATGGCTTGCAAATAGATGTAGAATATTTACATTTTTAGAAACTTTGTCATATAAAGTGTAATCATGTCGCGATCAATGATACCAAGCCAGCAGAAGTTGGCTGAGAAACTAACAATACTAAATGATCGTGGACAGGGAATGCTGACGCGGATTTACAACATTAAAAAGGTGGAAATTAGTTTAATGATTATCTTGTCACTTGTATTTTTTCAATAACTGCTTATTTATTTACTGAAAAAGTAAATATGATCAACATCTGAAAAAATATAAACATTTGTTGAACTCAGCACATATCTTTGAACATGTATTTGAAAGGATTACTGGAGGTTACGTACCACGGAGGTTACGTACCAGGGAGGATACGTACCAGGAGGTTACGTACCATTTTTGGAGGTTACGTACCACTTATATATTTTGGAGGATACGTAACATATATATAATAAATATATAAAATACAAATAATATAGAGCATAACAATTATAAAAAATAGAACTTTAATATTACTTTTTAAAAATGCTGATCGACCTCCATCATCAGCATGGTGCTCACCGTCATTGATATTTCGGCCCTTATCCATGTATATCTGCAGGCGAGTGGGTCCGATGCTTACTGTGTGGAGGTCGATTGCTTCCAGCTCCTCTCCTTTCGTCTCGGCCACAGCAAGCTAGCGAACAGAACCCTCGCACACCTACTTCAATAGGAAACAGCCATGTATGCCAGCCTCTCTGTCTACATTGGTTAAGTAGCTCTGTATACTTTGCTTTCTTCCTCTCGTAGGCCTCTTCACATCTTGTTTCCCAAGGTACTTTAACTCGATCATGATGAGTTTCTTTCCTTTTTCAGACCACAATACAATATCTGGTCTTAAGTTGGTCTGGACAATACTTGGGAAAACAAGCTTCTTGCCAAGATCCACCTCCATGTTCCAACCTGTTGCGCCATCTAGAATTGATGGTTGGTGTGGCACCCTGTGTCTTGGCAGTTTCACCCGGTTTCACAAAGTTGATGCCACAAAGCTTGGGGTTACTCCTGCGTTCCTATATCTATGTAATAGAAAGAGCACCGAAACACGAGGCTATCTGATTTGTACGAGGGGGCGTAGCCCCCGAGTATTAATCAGATTGCCGAGTGTTTTGGTGTTCTTTCTCTTTTGTATCATAGTCAAACATAAAAGCACGTTCCCTGTTGTCACAATATGAAACCCCGGCAAAAATGAACCAATGAACGAACCTCTGAATATGACATTTCTGTCGCTTTCCCTTTCTCTGCCGTCACAATATGTAAACCCCAGCAAAAATGAGCCAATCAGTGGGCATGCTCTGGAGTGCGGGTAACTAATACCCGCACTCCAGTTAACGCACTGTGCATGTATATGTATACGATTTAACCCTGACACATTTTCAACAGAAAGGTCTCCAAACTATGATACAAGTATGATTATCACACATTCAGAAATGAGTAATCTAACAAATCACAAACAAATTGAACAATAAACCTGATAGTTTCACACCTTATCCCTTATTATCACTTTATTATATATTTCTATAGTGGTACGTAACCTCCAACAATGGTACATTTATGCAGTGGTACGTAACCTCCATGGTACGTTACTATGTAACCTCCAAATTCCTTTGAAAGGCGGTGGCTAACCGTACGAGAAAAGTGTCTGCATGCACAAATCGCTTGTTTACACCCTGACCGTGCAGGTCTAAATCCCAGATACCGTGACTGATTGTAAAACCGTTAAATATTGTGCCGATAACGACACAAAATAGGTTAGCAACTTATACATACCCGCAGTTACCGGAAATAAATAAATTTTGGATGGCCATTTCGGATACTCGAACAATAATTGCCAATTTAAACACGATAGCACTAATAATAGGAGAACTAACTAAATGAAAATGCATCTACTTACATGTAAGGCAGATTATCACTGCGTCATAGAAAAAGTGCATTGCCTTTTCCAATGCGTCATTCTTGATATTATTGCGTCAAAAACACAAGAAACGCAGAGAAGCGGAAACACTGTTATAATTTTTATATCATTAATTTTGAGCTATTCATGTACAAAAGTAGAAAGAAAAAATACCTTTTCAAAATAAATTAAACTAAAAATAAAATCCTAAACATGATGTTTAAATCCTTTTATTTCATGAAATTCCTTATACAGCCGATAAACAAATGGCTGTCACACCATGCTCTTAATCTGATTCTGATTGGCAAACTGACTGCAAGTGCAATAGTTTAATTGATTCAGACCATATTAAAAGTTTCAAATGAAAAATTTGGCCATGCACCTTCAGCATATAGAAACACATTTTTCCGTCCAAGAATTTGAAATCAATGTGTAAAGCACTTAACCAGTATGGCGAATAGGCAATTATAGTTTGCTTTTTCAACTTTGCATTTTATTATACCCCCGCACAACAAAAATGTAAGGGGGGTATACTGGAATCAGCTTGTCCGTCCGTCCGGCGGTTTTTTCCCAATAACTTAAGATTCCTCTGACCCTTAGTCTTCATATTTGGCATGGAGGTTAGTCATGATTAGTAGATGACCCCTATTGATTTTGAGGTCACCAGGTCAAAGGTCAAGGTCACAGGGGCCTTGACTTCAAAAAGCTTGTCCGCCCAATAACTTAAGATTCCTTTCACCTACAGTCGTGACTCGTCATATTTGGAATGGAGGTTAGTCATGATTAGTAGATGACCCCTATTGATTTTGAGGTCACCAGGTCAAAGTCACAGGGGCCTTGACTTCTAAAAGCTTGTCTGCCCAATAACTTAAGATTCCTTTGACCCACAGTCTTCATATTTGGCATGGAGGTTAGTCATGATTAGTAGATGACCCCTATTGACTTTGAGGTCACCAGGTCAAAGGTCAAGGTCACAGGGGCCTTGACTTCAAAAAGCTTGTCCGCCCTATAACTTAAGATTCCTTTGACCCACAGTCTTCATATTTGGCATGGAGGTTAGTCATGATTAGTAGATGACCCCTATAGATTTTGAGGTCACCATGTCAAAGGTCAAGGTCACAGGGGCCTTGACTTCAAAAAGCTTGTCCGCCCAATAACTTAAGATTCCTTTGACCCACAGTCTCCATATTTGTAATGGAGGTTAGTTATGATTAGTAGATGACCCCTATTGATTTTGAGGTCACCAGGTCAAAGGTCAAGGTCACAGGGACTTTGACTTCAAAAAGTTTGTCTGCCCAATAACTTTAGATTCCTTTGACCCACAGTCTTCATATCTGGCATGGAGGTTCAGGGCTCATCCTGGGGGGAAATTTTAGGGAGAAGTGACTTCCTCGCGAAAATTAGAGAGAAGGGAAACAACCCAATGTGTATGCATTAACATGCATGGCTATACATCCTTTAATTATAATATAAACACAATTAACATCATTTGTAATATTTCTCCAGTTTATTAATTAATAGTAGATTAATTAATAGTAGTATTAATTAAAAGTAGTAGATCTGGCAATGGCATCTTAATGTTTTTGAGCTGCAAATATGAATATAAAAAAATTATTTTTGATATCTATTGATCAGCTATTTATAAGCTTTCTCTAAATATGTGTTTATATATTTTCATGTGCATTTGTCGATAATAATGTGTAAGAAAAAATATGATGATAAAATCAATTTCATATTTTTTCTTTCCTCACTTTTATTAGAAGATGAAGTCCAGTCTGTGCGAAAGTCCGTCGGTCCTCGGTCCTGGCTGAATAAAAATCATGCGGTCCGAGAAAAATTCCTTTCCGTCAGTCCTCATGTCCGAATAAAATTTTTAAAAAGTCAAAAATATCAATGACATGATTGATAAAAAGTACCCGGTGATGCAAAGAATTTATTAAAGATGATATTGACCAACCTTAGATCTCAGCTCTGTCTTCAAAAAGTTTCATCAACAACGGTAAATTTTGCCGTAAATTACAGATTTGAAAATTTTGTTTTATGATGCCTATTGAAATAGCCGATGAGTAACAATCTTAAAATAATCAAAAAATATTTAATCTAATATAATCAAAATCAACAACAAGTAGAATTGTGAATGTTTCTGCAGGAAACAGACAAATTTTCAATTGTCACATATTTTCGCGATGCCGCTTTTTATCATTAAAAAATCGTAACTAAAATGAAACTTTGTTTTGTTAAAATGTGTGTAATAACACTTAAATGTAGTTTAAGAATTAAAATTACTAAATATATTGTTCACATTAGTTGAGATGGAGGTATTTACCAGTATATGTGTTTGTCACATACAATGAATATTTTCTGATGGGAGGGGGGTGTGTGGAGTGAATCTGGAAGAAAACAGCATAATGGTCTGATGGTGTAGGGTTTTTGAAATTATATTTCAAATCTTTTCAATCACTTTTATGGTTCAATGTATTCCATTTGGGACATACTACCATTTTCCTGAATAAAAAGCTTTTTCTGTGCTTGGGAGTCCAAGGACTCCTCTTTTTAAAAACCTAGTGAGAACCCTGCTTAAGTTATTTCAATTGGTCAGCATCTTCTTATGTTTCTATATTGATAGTCTCACTAATTTAAAGAAAGACAATCATTTTTACATTCAACCGAGTTATTATAAAATAATGCTTGAAATGTCTGGGCCGGAAAAATATCCTCCGGGCCGGAAATAAACCTAAGGGTCTCGGTCCTTGTGGCCTGAAAAAAAAATTGACTTTCGCATAGACTGAAGTCACCTTGGATATTGATTAATAAAATCTGTTCTATTCTGTTCTGGTAACAGAAATTTCTTTGAAAGTCCTGCATGTTGTAATGTCAGATTTATATGCATATAATTATGCTTATAAAACAATTTTCAAACATCAAAGAATATGTAAAATATGTACTGCAAACATTTGTGCACATTATATTTGATCACTAAAATTACATATATTCATTTCTTATTGAAAAATTTGACTGAGAAAATGTAGAAAATTAATTTCTAATTACCTCCCTTTATTTTCATGAAATGGTAAAATTCGGTAATATCTTTATAAATAATCTGCTTTTTAAAAAATTTAAAATATTGATAAATTCTTAATCTGAAGCGTCATATATCTTACGACATTAAAACAAATATGTATATTGAAGCAATAAGAACTCTTCTTCTTGACAAATTTTGTTGTTACATACGTTACATGATATACGACCG